TTGATTTGTTGATTCATTGATTCATTGATTCATTGATTGATTCATTGATTCATTGATTCATTGATTAATTGATTGTTTGATTCCATGATCATGATTCATTGATTGGTTGGTTGGTAGTGGATTTGATTGATTGATTGGTTGGTTGGTTGGTTGGTTGGTTGACTGATTGATTCATTCATTCATTCATTCATTCATTCATTCATTCATTCATTCATTGATTCAGTGATCCATTGATTCATTGATTCATTGGTTCATTGATTCATTGGTTAATTGGTTGATTGGTTGATTGGTTGATTTATCGATTCAGTGATTCATTGATTGGTTGGTTGATTGATTGATTGATTGGAATGATTGTTGGTTAATTGTTTGGTTGATTCACTGACTGCCTGACTGAGTGATTGGTTGTTTGTTTGTTGGTGTGCTTGTGTGTGTGTGTGTGCGTTCGGTTTGTGTGTATGCGTGCGCGTGTTGTGTGCCTGTTTGCGTGCTTGCGTGCGTGCGTGGGTGCGTGTGTGTGTGCGTTTGTGTGTGTGTTTGTGAATGTGTGTGCGGGTGTGCATGCGTGCGTGCGTGTGTGTTTCTGCGTTTCTGTGTTTCTGTGTTTGTGTGTGTGTTTGCGCGTGCGTGTGTGCGTGTGGGTGTGTGTGTGTGTGGGTGCATGTGTGCGTGTGGTTGAGTGTGTGTGTGTGTGTTTGTGTGTTTGTTTGTTTGTCTGTTTGTTTGTCTGTTTGTTTGTTTGTGTTTGTATTTGTGTTTGTCTTCGTGCTCGTGTTTGCGTTTGTGTTTGTGTGTGTGTGTGTGTGTTTGCGTGTGTGTTTTTGTTTGTGTGTGTGTGCGTTTGAGTGCTGCGTGTGTTTGCAAGTTTGGTTTTTGTGTGTGCGTGTGGGTGTGTGGGTGGGTGGGTGGGTGGGTGGGTGGGTGGGTGGGTGGGTGGGTGGGTGGGTGGGTGGGTGGGTGCGTGCTTGCGTGTGTGCGTGCGTGTGTGTGTGTGTGTGTGTGTGTGCGTGCGTGTGCGTGTGCGTGTGCGTGTGCGTGTGTGTGTGTGTGTGGTGTGTGTGTGTGTGTATAGCGTGTTAGTGTTTGTGTGTTTGTGTGTTTGTTTCTTTGTTTGTTGGTTTGTTTGTTTGTTTGTGTGTTTGATTGATTGTTTGTTTGTTTGTGTTTGTGTTTTTGTGTTTGTTCGTGTTCGTGTTTGTGTATGTGTTTGTATTCGTGTGTGTGTGTGGGTGTTTGCGTGTTTTTTTTGTTTGTGTGTGTGTGGGTGTGTTTGTTTGTTTGTGTGTGTGCGTTTGAAAGCAGGGTGAGTTTGTGTTGCTGTTTTCGTGTGTGTGTGTGTGGGTGTATGCGGTTTTTGTGTGAAATTGTGTGTGCGTAGTTTGTGTGCGCAGTCGTTTGCGGGTGTGCTTTTGTGTTTCTGTGCTTTTATGCTTGCGTGTTTGGGTTTGTGTTTGCCCCTGCCGTTGTCGCTGTCTCTTCTTCTGTCTTTGTGTTTGTGTCTGTGTTTGTGTCTGCGTTTGTGCCTGTGTTTGTGTCTGCGCATCTCTGTGAGTGTGTGTCTTTGTGTTTCTGCTTTTGGTTTTTTACGTGCTAGCCCGAGCCTTCGTGTTTGCCTTGCGTTTGTGTTGTGTTTTTGTGGGTGTTGTTTGTTTGTTTCAGGTTGTGTGTGTGTGTGTTTGTGCGGGTTTGCGCGCTGGTGGAGTCCCCGAGGGCTTGTCCGAGAGGCTTGAAGAAGGCAAATCCCCTCTGCAGAGGCTCGCCCCCACTCACAAGACTTTGCGTAGAATTCTCGGAAGACTTTGCGTGGCCTCCGCAGAAGCATTTCCAAGGTCTACGCCCAAGAACCCTCTAATTAAGAGGCAGTACCCCTTGCAAGGTTCTGACCGTAGTGACGGATGGGATGGCCGCTGACGCTTTTTGTGTTGGAGCATGACCTACACACCACCCTCACCATGCCCTGTCACAAGTTGAAGGTGTTTGCTGCCATCTAAAAAGGAACGCTACTAGACTCACTTCCTGTGTTCATGGACTTTAAACTTAGTTCTAAATAGAAAGTTTGGACTTTTTTTTTGGCAATCAACTCAAGAAGTGAGTAAATCATTGAGTCCATGCGTGCTTGAACGTGGCTCATTCGAGGTCCTCCCATGGCCTTCCATTGACAGCAGGAGCCCGCATGTAACGTCAGTTTGAAGTCCATCCTTTACATGGTTTTTTTTTTCAATTTTTGAGGGGACCCTTCACAGATCACAGCCCCACGCAGTGAATCAAACCTGCACCAAAGGAGCCACGTCTTAATTTTCCCCAGCCCCGTGTCAGGAACGATCATGCGCGGGACCCAGCATGCCAAGCAGACTTCAGGGGATAGCTCGCAGAAGGCATTGATCAACCAATCGACTCATCACTGCAAGATTGGCCGTCCTGATTCGAGTTCATGCCCTTACACGCTCTCTGGCCCAACCTCTCAGGAGATTGTCGCGACTGCAATCCGAACCAGCTGCTCGGCAATCCAATTCTTTGGTCGTTGAGAGGGCCCAGTTTGGTACTCACTCTTGATCAAGTATTGGTTTCATTTAATCCACCACTCTGTTACACTCATAGGTGACAGCCCTTGGGACATTTCATGGCCCCAAGCTTTAGACGGCCTCACATCATGGCTTCCGCGCGAAGGAGATTGTATTCGCTGCGCGCTGCCCGCCTTAGCCAGGCTTAAAAGATATATAAGAACAACGCGGGCTTGAGCAAATGAATCTGACGGGCTGATTGCGAACTCGAGCGGCGAGGGCCGGCGAACGAACTGGCTGAAATGAGAAAGAGTGGGCTTAAGCTGGACCGCAGCACAGCCTCGTTGTGGGCTGGAAGCTGGCAGCCTGTGCCGTTTGTGCTCATGCTACGTGATGGCTGTGGGGGGGGGGGGTTGGCGTCATGGGCGCGGGCTGCGCAAAACTAGTCTAGCTGCTCCCCCCAAGCCCTCAGAGAAGTTAGCTGGCCAAGTTTATGCAGCTGACTAAGAACACATTGTAGTTTCACAAAGCAGGCCCAAGCCCTCGCAGCAAGGTGTAGTCAAAGGATGTTTAGAGGCTCTTATGAGAAACTCCCATAGTAAGGAAGCCAAGTGGAAGGCAGTTGTGCGTACAGATCAGACAATCAAAGAGTGAATGCGCGCGAGAGAACATGCGTGGGAGAAACCGGCGGGTCTGGGTTGATGTCAACCACCTCTGTCTCGATGCCTGTTTGCTGTGGCCTCGGCCACGGCCCACTGGCACAGCGACGCGAACATTCAGTTGCGCGACAGGCGCAGCACTTCGCAATGTGAGAGGGATTTCATTGCAGGCGTAGGTATTGATTTAGTCACGTGATATGTGGGCCCAGGGGGAGTCCAAGGTTGACAAGGTTTCCAGCTTCAAAACGACGGCTGCTCAATAGCCAATTGAACTGGAAACAGGAACCTGGAAACCTGTTGGGTCCTTCACGCATTTTGCTGAGACAAAACGCATATGAGGGGAAACATTTTTGGGGGAAAGCTTCATGGTTTCGTATTGCCCTGATGGCCATGGCAAATTCATTCAGTATCCTCAGAACTGACTTCGTTGTCTTAGTTTGAGAGGGGGTCGACGAGGTGTTGGATGTTTGAGATGTTGTCTGCGTGCTAATTGCCCTCCTGCACCGCGGACGTCCTTCCCCCCAAAAAAACTTCATTGTTCGCCGACCAAGCAAGCCGCAGCAAGTAAAGTCAAAATCGGAGGCCCCAAGGTTTCCAGGCCAGCCTTTGAGGCCGAGGCTGGGCGATGCAGTTCGCCTCACAGGAGACGGGCGGGATTTCCTGAAAGCAAAAAAACGACTCAAAGCAGAGGCAGACGCGAGTTGTGAAAATCTTAAGAGGTGTGACGGCAACAAAGTGCTCCAAGCTGAAGCTGACGCATCAGGCACGTAAAAAAACACAGCGGATATGGGTCTCACTTGCTGTGCTTGCTGTTGCCCGGGGATTCGAGCTTCCGGGGACTCGGCCAGGAGCTGAGGAAGGACCGCCGTCTCGTGCTGGGAGCGCTGCATGCAAATGGCCTGATGCTGGAGCATGCGCCCTCCCTACAAGGTGCAAACGGTTTTCGAGCGCACGGCAAAAGCTTTCAGCTCGCGACCTAGTGTTGACCCCCGTATGAGTGGGGGGGGGGGGTCGGCTTTGTACGGGCTGGATGTTCATGGCAAAGCGGTCCCTTCCGAACTGTGATCCCATCCTTCTTATTCTGTCTCATCCATCAAACATTAAACATGAATTCTAGATGTTTGCAGCGTATCAGCCTGATCTCATCCCAGATGTGGTATCGGGGGGAGGCTATGCCCTTTAGGGCATGTTCAATACATGCCCCCCCCTTGTAATTAAAGGAAAGCCGTGTCTCGCATAGGGGCCCAGAAAAAAAGGGGTTCAGCAGATTCACCACCGGCCAGGGGATGCTGAGATCGTTGTAGCTGCAGTGCGGTCGAACCCTGCAGCGCTACAGCCCCGCAGCGTTCACTAAGCACTGAGTGACTGAGTGCGGTCGGGGGTTCGGGAGGTAGAAATTGGTTTGCTCCAACGAATGCGGAACTATGTGAACTTGACACGGTGAGATATGAGACTGAATTTAAAGCAGGGCCTTGAACGGTATTGGGTACCACACACGGTCTTCAAAACCGGGTGATGAGATTTGTTGAGATACTGATGCTCTCAGGCTGCCATCAGATATCAGATGATCCCCTGAAATCACTTTAGGCGCACTGCGATGAGGCGCTTGTGAGCCTTGCTAAATCGCAACTGATGGCCCTTTACAGCGGAGAGTCCCTGTTTCAGCTAAAGGCACGATCATGCTGCATTCAGTTGATGTTTCTACGGTGCGACGCGTTGCACAGTCGTACAATGCGGTCTCAAACATGTTTGAGAAACCATCTTGTGATAAGCATGGCCAGGTCCCCTCCTACAACTTAGCAGCAAGTTTGGGATCGGGCTTGAAGATTTGCTTGCATGCGCAAGAGCTCATGGGTAGAAAGGGGCAAGCAGCTCGACTTGTGACCACGACCTTGCTCGGCGCTGTAGGGAGCGGACCCTCATTCACAGCCAGAAGCATTGCAAACAACAACATCAGAGGCCGCGTTTGGCACAGCTGCGCGCAGCTGCGCGCAGCTTCGCGCACATGTAATGGCTTTGCCCCGATGCGACCGTGGCAAGACCTTATCCCTGCGAACTTGAGTTGCGTGTCGCTTGCGATGCGTTGCCCAGGTTCGCAACTGAGAAGCTGAAAGGTGACAAGGCGGTGGTGCTTGCAGCTGTCAGCAAGGAGAGGCACGTGTAAGCAACTCTTGCAGCAGCCTGTGACTAAGACAAGGTAGCAACCATGGTTACAGCTTACGGGTTTACCTGAGGATGACTATCAGCCAACCGGCAAATCATCAAAAAGTACCTGATTGTACAAGCCAAGCGGCATCAACACATGAATGATCAGCCTTGTACAAAAACATGAGCAGACTAATGTTAACCCCGGATTAAGAAACCCCTGGTTGATGCATAGGGGGGTGTCCCCTTTCTGTGAGGATTCAGACCACTTTTGGAGGGAACACCCTCCAAAAAAAAGGGGACGGGTTTAGTAATCCTGGGTCAAAATAGATGGGTTCCACCGGTTTAGGTGGGGGTTTCTTCCATGTACCAGGGCAACCCGTCGATTTTTCCAGAAGGCCACCTATGCACATGGGCAGACTAGGCTGATTTGCCGAACCGCTCTCAGGACGGCAACACCTTGCGCTACGCCTCCAAGGCCATGAAGGCACGAGAGCAAAGTAGCGAGCGGACGTGTGACTTTGGTGCGATGTGGCGGTGGTCAAAACTGGGATGCCATGTTGGTAGGTGAATTCACCACCAATGTTAGTATGGTTTAGTTGGGATTGGGAGTTGGCTGGTAGGTGAATTCACCACCCATGTTAGTATGGTTTAGTTGGGATTGGGAGTTGGTTGGTAGGTGAATTCACCACCAATGTTAGTACGGTTTAGTTGGGATTGGGAGTTGGTTGGTAGGTGAATTCACCACCAATGTTAGTATGGTTTAGTTTGGGATGTTCACACCACCCATGTTAGTATGGTTTAGTTGGGATTGGGAGTTGGTTGGTAGGTGAATTCACCACCAATGTTAGTACGGTTTAGTTGGGATTGGGAGTTGGTTGGTAGGTGAATTCACCACCAATGTTAGTATGGTTTAGTTTGGGATGTTCACTGGTGTTGGGAGATTCGGTTCCCCTAAAACAGACTACAGCAAAAGTTGGCGCCCTTATTCTAACCTCTCTACTGGGACCTAGGAAGTGAACCCAGGCGTTGGTCCCCTTAAAGGAAACCACAAGGCATAGTTTATAGGAGTCATTCCCTCATTCCCTGCTGAGCACCCGCAAGCTTTGCGGCCGGGGCCGGTCGCAGACAGGATCATCCGACATAGGCCACAGTCGACAGATCAGCACGTGTAGTGGTACACACCAAAAGTGGTCAGCGTTCACAGCATTCTTGCTGGAGTTCAAGCAGGGGCACGGGCCAAAACTTGACCTGCAGGCCTCCCGCGAAGTGGTTTTAGCCTCTTGACTGGAAAAGAGGCGGCTTCTTGTGGCAAAGGGTGCCAGTTTTTCCGAGCCAGAGACAGTCAAATCCTTCAACATCCTTCAACATTGGATTCAGTGCCTTCTGCAAAATGACAAGCAGCAGTTGTTGCGGGCTTTGGTTGCAGCTTTCTTGGGGCGGAGGGGCTGGATTTCGAGGATTAGAAAGAGCGTTGGTCATTACCAAGGCAGCGAGCACGCTGTTGTGACAATTTGTGACAAGACGTGCTGCCTTGAGTTAAGTTTGCTCGTGTGCACGTGAAGGGTGATGGCCCGTAGATGGATTTGGTTCAAACCCTTTTTGTGCCTCAGCTTAGGCTGCTGCGCAGCAGGCAGGTGAGAGACCTGGCTAAACAAGCGATGGGAGTGGCTGTCATCTTGCTGGGACCCAGCGTGATGCTGAGCAGGCCACTTACCGGTGACAGGGCAAGAACCCAGGTCAATTCCAAACACGAAGCTTTTGTTTAGCACGTCCCAGTTGAGCAGAGTTGTTTTTGTTGCAATGCATTTTCTAAGTGTTTGAAGCGATTCACGCAGGCAGTCCGCGTAGGTTGTTCAAGAAAATCCTGCGACTTGAGAGCCGCTCCCAACAAAAACGTAGGCACTCCGCGTATATAGGCACTTGTTGCCGCGTAGGCTCGCGTAGGCACCCTTCCGCGGTTTTGCACACCCGCGGCTCCGCGTAGGCATGGCTGCTACTGGATAGGGCCGACACCCAAAAACGGTTTCCCTGCTCACTTGAGGGTTGTTAGTTGCAGACGTGGCCAGATACTTAGATCACCGAATAGTTGTATAGGAACGGCTTAGGCCAGATTCCCAATTTAACTTCCTGGAGAATATCCTGGAGATTGTTTCTTTGATTAGAGACAAGTTCAGGCTGCAATCAACTGCTCTAAACCTCGACGAGTTGTCCCACTTCGCAGAATGTTGTGACTTGCAGTCTACCGACATTCTTGCGTCGGTTCATTAGCAGTGGGCACGGAAGCTTGCCTTGCTAAGACGATCCCTGTCTTGGATGAAGCTCTCTCTGTCTCTGTCTCCCACTCTTTGTCTCTCTCTCTCTCTCTCTCTCTCGTTTTCCTCGCTCACTCTTTGTCTCACCCGCTCTCTCTATCCATTGTTTAATTCTCCCTGTATCTCTTGTTCCCCCTCGCTCTTTCTATCTTTCTCTCACTCTGTATCTGTGTCCCTCCCTTTGTCTCTCCCTCTCTCGCTATTTGTCCCTCGGACTCTCTATCTCTCTTTCTCCCTCTCTAGGGAAGAGGGAGATAATCAGACAGAAGGAGTAAGAGACACAGCGACACAAAAAAGATACGACGAGGGAGCGAAAGAAGGAACATGCTGCGGCCCATGCCAGGCAAAGCTTCCCTAAAGCAAGCGGCTTCAAATTTGTTGTTCATTCGTGCATTTGCTCGTTGCGTCTTTCCATGTCTTTCCTTTATTCCATATTCATGTATTGCTTGTTTTGTTTGATTCATCCATTCCGCCTCATGTTGTTTGATTTGAGCAAAAACGCATGTTGTGTTTTATGTGTTCCTTTCTATCTCTACGTCCTTATGTGTTTAGTGCTCTCTTTATGTCGTTTTTGACTGCTTTATGTCTCTCTGTGTGTTTCTTTCTCTCTTGGCTACTTGATTTGTTGGTGTCTTTCTTTCTTGCGTCTTTCTTCCGTTATTTCTTTCTTTCGTATTGTGTTTCAGGATTTCTTTATTCTGTTTTATTATTCCTTTCTTTCTTCCTTCCTTCCTTTTCTTTCTTTCTTTTTTTCTTTATTTCATTATGTCTGTCTTCTTTCAGTGGATTATTTGCATGTTCTGTCTTTGGCTATGTCTGTCTTTCTTTCTTTTGTTTAATATTGAAAATTACTTGATTTATTTATCTCCTTGGTTCTTGACTTATATCTTTATTTATCTCTCCTTTCTGTCCTTCTTTCCTTCCTTCCTTCCTTCATTCCTTTATGAGTTTCTTTCTTTTTGTCTACCTTTCTTTCCTTCTTTGGGTTTTCTCTCTTTCTTTGTGTTTCTTGCTTGCTTTCTTTCTGTGAGTCATGAACTGATTCCTTCTTTCTGCTTTGTTTAATATGTATTTGTGTTCGTTTCCTTGTGAATTTATTTGGTGGTTTTTTTCAGTATTTATGTCTTTCTTCATTCGTTCTTTTTGCTTTCTTTCTTGCTTTCTTTCTTTCTTTCTTTCTGTCTTTCTTCCTTCTTTCTTTCTTTCTGGATGGCTTTCCGTCTCTATTTTTGTCGATTCTTATTAATAATGCTACTATAGTTTATGTGTCTATTCTTGATTTCTGCCTTTCTTTCTTGATTTGTGTGATTGTGTCTTTCTTAGGTTATCCCTTTGTTGATGTATTCCTGTATGTTGTTCGTCATTGCTGTACTTATTTGTTTCTTTGTTTCTTTCTTTCGTTCCTTGTTTTTGTGTCTCTCCAACTCTCTCTCTCTCTCTCTCTCTTTCTCTTTTCTCTCGCAGCCGCATGGACCGTGCGCCTGATGAATGCATTTTTTTTTTTATCGAAGGCCCGGCTGCGCGTATCTGCCAAGCGCTTCTTCCTGAGCAGATTTGGCGTGGGAATTGGTGACCCTGAAAGCCTTCAGCTCCAGGTTTCCAGAGGAACACTTCAGACCAAGTTTCACCCCTCCTTGGTGCGATAGGTACTTCCCCGCACCCACCAGCAAGCCTATCCACAGCCACTTGCTCAAAACCCGGCTAGATGAAGGTTAGTCAGAGACAATCCCAACCATGCATAGCTGCGGATATCCGCCTTAGTTCTTCACATGGTTCTGGGGATCGACCATCTTAATACCGGGTTTTGATTATGACTCACATCTTCGCTGAGGCGGAAGTTTGGATCCAGTTTGCAATGTGGCTTCTGAATACGACACGCATTTTTCGGACATGCAAGCCTATCCACATGCAAGTTTTCTTCATTTCACTCGAGGCATGTGCTGCTCCTTGCAGATGAGATCTTCCACGAAGACGCGGGCCTCGCCGGGATGGCGCCCTGGCGAAAGTCATGTCACACCGTTCAGGAACCCACCGGAACGATTCGACGCCCTGTACATTCTGTCAAAGTGGCGCAGACTACGTCTCCACAGTATTATTGTGGCTCTACATTCAGTTTGACAGTCAAACGCGCGGTTGGCATGCATGGCAAGCCCCGCAATGCAGCACATGGCCGCAACTGCAACGCTTGCATGAGACAATGGAGCATAAATTTGAAGGACATCACGGCACCCGCATGTGAGCCAGCCTTCTTTTTCCCCAGTCGCGAGTCAGCAGGCATGGGGCCCGGTGGTTTTCTTGCCCCCCTCCCGCCAGGCGAGGAAGCAACTTGGCAAAGCTCTCGCGGTCGATTTTACATTCTGTTCCACCATCGTTCTTTCGAAAGCCGCTGGTTTCCTCGGGTGTTTGATGCTTTCCTGAAAAGAATGATCGCTCAAAAAAGAATGGGGAAGCTTCCTCGAGTGGAGGTTTTCGGATTATCTCAGGTCCCAGGCGAAAGGCAAAAGTGGGGCGAAAGGCCGTGTCGCGTTTTTTTTTTCCCCTCCCCAGGTACAGTGAGTCTGACGTCGAGCAATCTGCAGGCTGGAGCTCTTGGAAAGAACATGGACTCAAGGATAGCTGGACTCCCTCAGTTCTTGGACTTGAGCCACCTTTTGGGACAGACCATTTTAGTGGTAAATAAAAAGTTGACTTTTGTTGGCAATCCAGGAAGTGAGTCGCGCGTGTTTTTGTTTCTTCTTCTTTTCTGGGGCGTCCTTTTTCTTGTGCCTTCTTCCGCATGCGTTTGAAGCTTCCCTCAGCTATGGGAATGCAGCTGTTTCGAGCGGGGGCATCAAAAAGTCGGCCAAGAGCCAGATGGGAAACCGCCTGCTGGCTCTTAGCATTTGCTTTTAGGTGCTTTGAGTGGAAATTCCGGAGCACTGGCAAGTTCATGTTTGTTGGCATGTTTCAGCTAGCCCTGCTGGAAAGTGTTGCCACTACTGCTGGGACATCGGCGGGAGATACACGGAATTCTGTCAGAACTACGTGGAAATCCCGGGAACCACCAAACCCATGTTTGCGGCTTACCATGACGTAAGATCACGTACGGTTTCAAGGAAAGAAGCGCTTTAGACAGGCTCGCTAGGAACAAATGTGGGAATGTATTCCTTAGTATCCAGGAATTCCAGAACACGGTTTGGATGCGTTTTTTGTGGATCCCCTGCAGGATATTAAAAGAGTACTAAGAAGAACCTACATGGCAAAGAACAGGTGAAATCCACACAAAGCGTATCCACACCGTTTTCTAGAGGAATAGCAGCAGCCGCCGCAACTCTAGCAATTTGCAGCTTCCGGGTTCAGCTTGGCCGATTTGCATGGGACGCCATCCAGAGCTGCTGCTGAACTAGGTCCCCCAGCTAGGTGCCCAACCTCTCACCCCTTTGTTGGTTGGGAGGGTTCCCATACAAAAATTTTCAAAACCGAAAGAAGTTGGTACCAACTTTTTGTAAATCTCTTACTGGACCCAGCCTTGGCAGGCGCGTGTTGATTTACAGTTTTGCCGGCCTTGGAGGGGTGGATCTCCAAAGGGAAGTAGACCTCGATCGGTTTTAGGCGTGGAAGAGAACTCCTGGACGGACACCGTGTACGTGAAGACCCGCTTGTAGAGTCGCTCTGATTTCTCTGGCTGACGCCGGAGATCTGCCAAACTTTCGGGCCTTGTTCTGAGGGTAATAAATTTGCGCTTGGCACCAGACCACTGCCGCCCAGCATTGTAGATTACGGCACTTGTCACAAAGCTTGACAAATGTTTCTTTGCGACCGTTTCACCAAATCGAACGAGCCGAATGCCCTCCCCCAAACAACGGCAAAGTGATGCACCATGTTTGGGGTTAGGACAGCGAACAGTCGTGGTGCCTTGGTGGTTCCTATAGCCATCCACTCAGGCTTTTAGCTGTTTTTCGTTGGTGTAGTGGCAGTTCTCATGTCACCCACAAGTTGTCAACTTTTAGCAGGGGATGCGAAAAGGGACAGCAGCCCGGCGCCATTTGGTTCATCAGCATCCGTTTACTTGCTGGTGCGACAGGAAGAGAGAAATGGAATGGCCCCAATGAAAAGAACATCCCTTGCTGGTGGTGTCCTTTTCTTGGTGGCTCCCAGCCATCCCGTTAGCTTTTTAGCCTTTTAGCGTTTAGTGGAGGGGTTCCATTTAACCCACTAAACGTTCAACTCTTGGCAGGGGATCTGAGGGCAGCCCAGTTTTTTCGGGCCCCCCCTTTGAACGGCTCATTCCAGTTCTCATTCCCTTCGCACCATCCGAGCACCAAGAAGCCGCCGAGGCGACCTAGAACTTGGGAGGGCTGGGGCCTCAAAACCGCAGAGGTGAACCCGGCGCCCAAGGCATGTGGGGCTGGCGCGCCTTTGGCGGAGTTGGTACCCCTTTTACCTTTTTTGGTTTTATGAATGGAAACCAAAAGGGGGGGGCCCTGGGAAAAGACACTCCCATGTGCGAAAGTCGTTTATGTATTCAAAAAGATGCAGGCTCACAGACCGGAAGCCGATAGCCACGGCAAGCAAGCAATCTCTGCCATTTGGCCCATTAGCTGACGGTTCCCATGTCTGTACTAGTTGGATACCAGCAGCCTCCGGACCTTCTGGAAGTGGGCTACGCTTTCCGGGTTTGGACGCAAAAACAGGCCGTTTTGTCTTCGAGAGCGTCATTTCTGTACTTGTGCCAAACCGCTTTCGCCCATGGGCGAAAGAGCGCGTCCTGCTTCGTGCTATGCTTGCATTTGAGTTTGCAACTGCAAGCTTGGAAAAGTTACTTGTATGCATATATAGATAAATATTTGCAAGTCACAGTTGCTTCTTCACACAACTTGCTAGATTTGTTCAGTCATGCGGTTTTCGCCTTCCATATCCCAGACTCATTCATGTGTTTTATTGATACGCTTACGGAAGGGTGCCATTGAAGTCCTGCTAGACCACTTTGCCGTGACCGCGCTTGACAAATTTGTTTGGTTCTGCAAGCTTGGTGCGGGTGTGTTGCGCCTTTTTAGCTGGCATGTCGCAGCATCATCTTTGAATTTGTTGCTTCAATGATTTCGTGCAACGGCACGGCTAACTGCGGCGGAAGAGACTGCAGCTTTCGCGCAGCTGTACAACAACAACCCAGCAGTCCGGCCAAACTGCAGCAACAAAGGGAATTGTAGGATCACCCGTGATGAAGGCATGCTTTTACACAGAGCCCTTACTGCGGGTCTGTTCAGAAGGCTTGATTTCGCGAGTCTGAGTGACAGACCGCTCCGAGGTGGATCCTGCCACGAGCAGCTTTCTGCATTTGGAAGCGTTCTGTGCCCCAAAACTGAAAAATTCTAAACGAGTTCGCTTTCGTTTCGAGGTCAAGTTCAAGTCCGTATGCAAAGCATATTCTGATTAGAGCGCTACTGTTGCCAGGTACGACCAAGGTCGAGAATCGGAAGCTGTACTTTTGTGCGGGGCCTTGGATGCTCTGTTGGCCTTTGCCACGGGGATATCCATGCACTGTTGGCACGGCGAATGAACCGTTTTGGGATTCCCTTAAAGGAAACCAAATCGGAGACAATTCTTCTCGGGGTCATTTCATTCTTTAGAGGGTTGGTTTGGATTGGTTTGGGTTTGGCCTCTCATCTTCCCCAGAATTAGCTCCCCTTTTTGTTTTTTGCTTTTTTGGGGTTCCCTTTGTTTTCCACTAACCAGGCAAAAAAGATATTTTTTTGCTGGGGTCTAGCCAAGTCATTTCGTTCAACAAAAGCCTGGGGCTCAAGTTCAACTCCAAGCCACCGGCTCCGAAACCAGCGGCTCTCGGCGCAAGTGTTGTGCTCCGCAGCTCTGGGCCCAGTGATGTGACTGGCCCACCCATCTCAGGCGGGACGAACCGGGCGCGAGAGTTGCCCACTTTGTTCTCTGGAACTCCATGGCGGCTGGTTTGACCGACAGTCGAACCAGTAACCCCTGAGCCCGTGGGGGAAGAGTAGTTGACGCCATGTTTGCCTAACACGCAGACAGTAACAACTTGTATAGCTCTACTTAGTCGCGAGCATTGCGTGCTGTAATTTCGGTTGCTGAAGCTGGCAAGAGACACACAGCCGGCCATGTCATTTGGAGTTTGGCCCTAGGCGTTCTCTAGGCCCTGGCCCAGGCAAAATGCCTGCAAAGCCGCAGCCAAAGATCCTGAACTCCAGCAGTGCGCCCTCATTGGGCGCCTCGGCTGGCATTCTCAGAGAGAAGGCAGCTACGCAGTTGGGCCTGCGGGTCGTTCGAGTCTGGTACTCTCTTTTTTTTGGTTGGGAGGGTTCCCCGACTAAAATAGACTACCGAAGAAAGTTGGTACCCTTATTCTGACCTCTGTACAGGAGGACCTAGTCACGAAAGCTGACAGGTCTTGTTGGTTTGCATGCTGCTTTGCAGATCGTACTTTGGGAAAACATGTGAGCTAACAGGCAATCCCACGGATGATCCTGAATACTGAATGCTTTTGGCAAAGCATGAGCAAATTAATAGATATGTGCATTTGTTGGATTTGGTGCTCCTCCCGCCGCTCCCTGCTCGCGGCGCCCTGATTGAACCTGACAGATGAAGGAGTCCTGTTTCAGATGCAGCCTGGTTTGGGCCTCCCATCTTGGAGACTGAGCACCGTGAGGGTTCTATCAAGAAGTTTGCAGATCAATGTTTCGGAGCTAGCACGTGTGCTTCCCACGGGCATCCCTGTGAATTACATTTGTTGGTAGCCAGGCAAGGTCGTGCCGGCTCCCCTGTTGAATCATTCCAGGGCTCAAATGTTCAGCACCCCGAATTCGCACAAGTCAAGGCCAGGGCAAAAATGACAGCTTCTACATGCGCTCGACCACCGGGTCGCTGCCAACCATCCCGCACCCCGGCCGGTTTGCGTTCGCTGCAAGTCGGGCATTCCTGGTGTCAGGTTCTGTGCCCGCAACTGGTTCTGCGTTCCAATGCATGACTTTGTAGAGAACCCGCGACAGGAACCGGGGCGTTGGTGGGAAACTTTGGGAGGTTATGGGAAACCCATGGGAAAAACCCATGGGAAACCTGTGAAAACCATGAGAAACCATGAGAAAGCCTCGTGAGGGCATAGGGGCGTGTGAGCCGGGATTCTCACTGTTTCCCCAGTCTCCACCCCTTTGTTTGCCCAAATCGTAAAAGACGGCTGGCGGACTCTTTGCGCATTTCGCACAGTTGACGGATTGAGGGTGGAGGGGTTATGATCGCTTCACACATTTCACCCGCAGACGGCCAAGCCCCGATCTCATTAGCAGGAGTAAATCGTTTGAACTGAGCCACGGTGCTCCTGATTTGTGTGATGGGTATGGGGCGACCTCCTTGTGAAGGGCAGCAGCTGGTAAGAAGACAAACATCGATTCCACAAAAAAGGCTCAAACCAGAAGAATCAATGTAGATTTTGCGTCTGGCTGGGTGCGGAGAGCGCAAGGGAGCTACAGGCTCATGGAGGAGCTTGCATGTGTTCGGCAGCCTCTCTTCAGCGCAATGTTAGAAGATGTCCTGGGACATGGGAACGCGATCAAAGATGCAAGGGTCAGACAGGTTCAGGGCAATTCTCCTTTGGATTTAGTTCCTTTCATGGGTTTGGTCACGTTCCTTTTGAGAGGGAGCCGCACTTCCCATGGTTTCAGGGCATGGATGAGGTCTAATCTGTGGTTTGGCCCGAACCCGTGGCCAAACCGGGAGCAACCGAAAGGCTCATGCCCATGTCCGTTCCCTGCAACTGCCCGCAGGTTGCGATGTTTTGCCCTGGCCAAGTGGCATCCAATCGTTCTGTCATGTGAGTGTGTGAGTGTGTGGTCGTGTGTGTCCTGGAAGCCTTGTCCCACCAGCAAAGTATGGACTTGTCACACATGTCAATGAGCGTATGCAATCAGAGCCAGTTGCCAAAGTCGGAAACTCTTGGCCTTGAGTTCCGCCTATTTCGCGGGGCCAGGTCCGTTGCCCTCTACGCTACGCCGTCCTATAGCTCCTCAGCTGAATCTTATATTGCGATGCGTTGAACAACTAGCTCGGCGGAAAGGCCAGAGACTGCAAGTGCTTTTGTCCAGGTTTCAATATCGGCCCTTGACATGGGTTTGCAGTGGCCCTCGGCGTTGGCTATGGCAGAGCTCATGCATTCCATTATGTACAGTTCTTCGGGCGAATGCTTGCCAGAGTGTGCGTGTGCAGAGTTCTCTGACACGTGAGGCTCCCTCTACTCAGACCCAGAGGCCTGGTTCCAGAAATGGATTGCTCCGCCGGGGTTTAAAACAGCAGGCTGACTGCACCACAGGTATTTAGTGGCACCGTCTTTGGTTCGCAGAAGGAGTGCGTTATGCCCACAAGAATGGCATTTACTATTCCGAGCGACCCAGGGTGCTGCATGACTTGGACACGTGGCCCTTTCTCTCCCCTTTTTTGGTTGGGAGATTCGGTTCCCCTAAATCGACTCAAAAAGCCGGAGAAAAAAAATGGGTACCGACTTCTTCTAACCACTCACATCTGGAGGGCCTCAACCGTAGCTCCACTGGTTTTCGCCGGGTTTCACCGGGTGCCAAGCCCACGCAGCCAGGACTTGGAGCCAGGGCCTGGCACCTACGAGATCCCCCACTGCTTTGGCCAGGGGCTCAAAGGATGGGGCATGCGAAAGAGCAACCCCCGAAAAAAATCCCGCGGAGAACGGCGGAGAAGGCGACCCTGAGCATCCGAAACTGGGCGGTTTCCAGCCATCCCCTTAGTTGTTTTTTCCCACTTCACACTAAAGGTCAAGCTTGTAGCGGGGGGATCTGAGGACAGCCCAGGAAATAATCCGCAAGATGCCGCAACCGCCCTCGGCTGCCTTCAGTACCTTGGTGTTTACTGCCCCTTTGCAAAGCCAGAAT